CTTTCGGAGACTCGGACGAGGAGCCATTTGTAGCCATTCCTCGTCTTTTTAGTCGTGTTCTTCTCCTGAATCACTCCCCGAGAGGATCCCTCCCTATCAACAAATCGCTCCCCCTTCCCTTACATCCGAAAAACCACCAAATTATTGCATTCGGTACTCTAACGAAAAGAACCGAAAAGAATCTCGTAAAAGAGTAAAATTAAGCAAATGGGAACGAGTGAAAACGAACGTAAGATATCATCGAAAGGTTGATTTTGAATGTGTGCAACAAATCCGATGAACGAGAATATGACCATTCCAGCGAGAACGCTCGTGAAAGTGTTTCTGTTGATTGAAATTAGTGAGAGAATTCTGGTGTGTTGGGAATAATTTTACGATAATGTGAGCAAATGGTTCTTGAATTCATATCAGAATTAATGAAAATTTTAGCAATTTCAAATCGAATATTCTAACGGGTAATGAAAGACAACGAAAAACGATAATGTAAATAGTAGTATTGATAATATTATTAGTACTGGTAATAAAAACAAGAATATTGATAAGAATAACTGCAATAGTGATAATAAAAGTTACATAATAACGACCGCAACAGCATCACGATAAATATTATTGCGATATCTACTAAAACTAGCCATTGAAATGAGCGGACCTGCGTCAATCCCCAACGAATAAAATACTTGCTCTGCGGCTGATTTCCACATCTACATTCGATAAATGCTTTTGTTCATGTTTTAAACATTATTGGTTTCAAATTGAAATTTCAGTAAGAGTCAATATCTTAATGCCAAATATATAAGAATTATTTTCAGTGTTTTCAAACATATCTTTCGAACGATTTAAGAATGCAATACTCGTTTGCAACACCGCTCAGCGTTGTGATGCTAGCATAAGGAATTGATCAAAAGAACTTCCAAATAATGAGGTCATTCCGAAGAAGTGATAACGTGAATGAATAAGAACGATACAACATCCTTCAACCAAAAACTCGGAATCAAAACAGACCGGTATTGACCAAAGTTTTTCAACCTTGGGTTTGAAGAGAAACGCTAAACCTTGCTGGGCGCCAGGCAATGATACTCCCCGCAAGAGAAGCATACCCAACTGAAAATCTGACCTCGTATCATATTTAGTGTGTCATTCATAATCTCAAAAAACGAACTCCTTTCTAAAACAATGTTTATATGAATGGATATTCCCAAACAAAAAACACTAGCCTATTTGTCAACCGTTCATAGAGCATAGAAATCCTAATTCTCATAAATGTTATCAATGTTTGCCTAGTTAATAGTAACTAACAGTCTCTTAAATTCAAGCACTTGCAATTGAAATGAACAGCTTTGGTACGAGCGATTCAATACGATAATAGGCATACTCTTGAGTATTATATCGATCATTCAGCGATAAGAATTGAAAAGTGATGAACATGCGAAAAAATGCCTCCTGTTCATATTACGGGGAGAGCGAAATGGGCATTAAAGAGTACCCGTTCTAGGAGATAGTTCTCATGGGGCGATAAATTTGATTAAAATTGGTCGGCAAAACTGGCACGTTGATCATTTTCAACAAAGTGGATTCGATACTTCAGAGACTTGATGACTTGTGAAGAGTGGCTCGAAACAGTTTTCGAGTAACTCCGCTAGGGCATCAAATCAATCATTTTCACTGATTGGTTTGAAACGAAACGCTCAAATAAACGAAAAAAGCTTCGAACCAAAAGGTATGGCAATGTAGCAGTGATAGTAACAGCCCATCCAATCGAACCAATCCCTTTAAACACTCCAAAGAACACCAAAATCCACGCGATTGCAAGCGATAATGCAAGATGACTTTGGATTGGTCCTAATGCCGCATTGAGTATATCATTCAAACCATCCACATCGTTCTGCTGATACGATAACGTCGTGTTCAATGCAAGTAGCGGTAAGGCTGTTGATTGATACGATATATTGTTATTGTTGCTGATCAATGTCATACGATCGGCGTCATCGTCCAAGTACATCTGGGCTGTTCGATTCAAAACCTCGTAACTGTAGATATACGCATTTTGAATGAAGATGCTGCAGTAACTAACTATGGCACGATAGTCTGTTCTCGCTCACTTGTATACTTATTTTCAATTGAAAATTCGAATCCCTCTTTTTCATATTTATTTAAGAATTCAATACTTTAAGAATTTCTTCATATTCTTAATGGTGGTATATTCTTAAGGAAGCAAATTAATGTTATTTGATCTTTTTTCCATAATCGCAGATTTAGGTTTGCATGAAAAATAAGCGTGCGATATTGAATTTATGAATTACTTATTCTTAGTATACCATGAACAATATTTTGAAATGTCTTCATTGCCGAAACCAAATTCATAATGAGCTGTGATGAGAAGTAGTGATCAACTAACTGGAAATATGCCTCAGGCGACGAAATGGAATGTGCATTCAGGAAGCATTCTGGCGATTCACCCAATAGACAACACGGAATATGCTTTGGCCAATCTGATAATCGAATAG